CTGGGCCTTGCAATAAGCCTTTCTCTGCTCCAAACTCTGATGTTTCAGTTTGATTGGCCTCACTGGGGGTCAGGAACATGAACTTGCACTCAGTAACAAACACAGACTGAGGCTTGTGGACATAGGTCACTTGTCCAAGAGCTTCACAATACAGTAAGTCCTCTACATATGAACGAGTTCTGTTCCGAGAGTGTATTCCTCAGTCCAATTTGTTCGTTAAGTCCAACAAAGTTAGCCTAGGTACCCAGATAACACAATCAGAGGGCAAGCTGCAATTTCACTCACGCCTGACGTTGATGGAACCCACGTTTACATCTTCGACACAACTTGAAGGTTCGTTATGTAGGGGACTTACTGTAATTTGGGAAGCAGGCTTTGAACCTGGTGGTGTGAGCCTGCACACAAGCTCTCACCCTCCCAGCTATGTGTTGTTTTTGTTTTTGTTTTCTATTCAAGGCAGACGAAAGTGCTCATCAGTATAATTTGTTTTGAGGCAATTGTAGATTCACATGAAGTTGAGAGAAATAATACAGAGGAATTCGTTGTTATCTTTTACCCAGTTTCCCTCAGTGGTTACATCTTGCAAAAACTGTCATTCTGTATCACACCCAGTATATTGACGTGGATATTTTCAAGATCCAGGAAGTTTCCATCACCACAAAAATGCCCCTTGTTGCCCTTTTATAGCCACATCCACCCCTTCGTTATCCCCTGGCATTCGCTAATCTGATCATTTTTATAACTTTGTCATTTCAAGACTGTTTTATAAATGAAATCATGCAGTGTGGAATCTTTGGGAGTTGGCTTTTTTCACCCAGCATAATTCTCGTGAGGTTCATCCAGGTTGCTGTAAGCATCAGAAGTTAGTTTATCGTATAGCTGACTAATGTTCCGTGGTCTGAGGGTACCACAGTTTGTATAATATTCACCTGCAAAGGACATTTGAGCTGTTTCCAGTTTAGAGCTATTATTAATAAAGCTGCTATGAACATTCATGTACAAGTTTTTTTTTTTTTTGAGCACAGGCTCCGGACGCGCAGGCCCAGCGGCCATGGCCCACGGACCCAGCCACTCTGCGGCACGCGGGACCCTCCCGGACCGGGGCACGAACCCATGTCCCCTGCATGGGCAGGCGGACTCTCAACCACTGCGCCACCAGGGAAGCCCCATGTACAAGTTTTTGTGTGAAGATAAGTTTTCATGTCTCTGGGATCAACCCCAGGAGTGCAATTTTTGCCTCGTGTGTTTGTTGCGTATTTATATGCAGTTTTATAAATGAAGCTGCCAAACTGTTTTTCAGAGTGGCCCATGCACTGAAATCTATTCTTTTATGCCTTGTTTATAGCTTTTGTGTTTACAGATTTAACATTTGGAATTTATACTTCCCGCAAGTTACCCTAAAGGTTTGATATCAAATGCAGTGTGTGGTGGTTTGGGGCCTGGATTTGAATCATGTATTTTCCAAGGGTCTTTTTCTGGACTGAGTCACTTAAATAGCAGCCGAGCCTAGCACTCTGCTCAGCTTTTATATCATGGCAAGATTTTATTTTTCTCTACTTATTAACTCTATCCTGTATGTTGAAAGAATATACTTTCTAGGAGTTTTTAATGGTTATGAATTAAATAATGCTTTTTGTATGTTTAAAGGTACACCCAATTCATTTTATCCTCAATTATAGCCCTTCCAATATTTAATAATTGAACTCTTGAAAGTATTATATTAAGTCCATAACTAAATACTGGTGTTATTTTATTGCAGTAGCTGTTTATGTAGGTGCCATTACCTTGCTCTCCTTCATTAAACTTTGTTTGTAGATGGCTCCTTTACAAGTCTCCCTTGTAAACACCTCTTGCAATAAATGGATATCTCTAGACATTGAAAGATAGCCTCTCTCCAGCAGGACAAATCAAGTGTATTTATTTCTTAACCCTTATAAATCATATCTCAACTTCAGTGCTTATGGCTGTTGCATTTTTCCTTTGGTGTGTTTTTCTGCATCATTTCTGGCTTTGCTATTTGATTAGTCCTGTAGTGTTTTGCTTTCTTCTCATTTTCAATTGTTTTTTCCTTCATAACTAACTTTCCACTTTATCCTCCTAGTTTTATTGTACTTTCCTAATCCCTCCAATCTTTATGATATCTCAACTTACACATAGTTCAACAATAAATTTTTTATAGTTGCAGAGTATATATTTGCGTAGGTAAAGCTCAGAAATGAATATAGTTTTTTAAAGCACTTTATGTATTTTAATTTCCAGATAAGTCATAGGCAGTTAACATCACAAGTTATAGGAATTCAAAAGTTAAATTTTAAAAGTTTAAAAATGAGTGCTCAAAAAACTTGGGATTGTTATGAACAATCAGAAGTTACCTACTGTTTTTAACAATTACAGATAATCTGTGTGATTTTCATGTGATCACTGGATATTTGTCCCTTCATGGACTGGAATTATCAAATGAGAACCACACCTCACTAAACCTTAGGGAACTATACTTTCATCAAACGTATTGATGTTCTCAAGCAAATAAAAACCTTATTTCTTTGTTAAAAATGAGTGTTATGTGCCAAAGAGAACTGTAATGAACACCAAAAAGTCATCAATTAGTAGTATGGTATCATGCATAGGAAGTGAGCAGCTTGATGAAGAGTTCTCAGCCTTGGCACTATTGACATTTTGGACCAGAGAATTCCTTACTGTGAGTGGCTGTCCTGCGCATCCCTGGCCCCTGCACACTGAATGCCAGTAGCACCCTCCCCACAAATCCTTATAATTAAAAACATCTCCAGACATTGTTCTTGTTTGGGATGGGGGTGGGGTCAAATCTCCCCTGTTGAAAACCACTGGACTCAAATAAAATGTCATTCGAAAGAAGATGACACCTTATATAAGATTGAGACATATATGAAAGTTTCCTCATTGGCTTCCTGGTGCATGTCAATAGATTAAGTTAAATGTAATTAGGTAATAAAAGAAACAAATTTTACTTCTTCATACCATATCTCTCACATGAGCAGACAGCTTGGTATTTATTCCTCCTTCTGCCCATGGAGGAGTGAGAGTGTGTTACCCAAAGCTCCACCATAATACCATGTGGGGCAGGAAGACGGTATTGCCCAGAACTCAGATGCCACATTGCACAGCCTGATGGTCTTGGGACCCAGGGACAGGTTCAGTCTCCTTGGCCTGGATCAAGTTATGCTCAAGCTGAGGACCCTCCAGGAGACCGAAAGGGACATGTTCTGTTTTTATTTTTGTATCAGATTTACTCTTTAGGCTTTCATTACTGCTAGATTTTCTCTGTAAAAACTCTGAGCCTAGGGATGGACGTAGGCTTATCTGCACTAAAATAGTAACGTAAGGTACCCTGTATCTTCCTCACTCCTCATCTCTGCCTTCCTATATGCTGGATCTTTTTCTGATCTTTTCTCCCCCAGCAGAACTTACGACACTATTTA